GCATTTGGGTAGTACCCATGACTGGGTGTTTGTATTCTGACTTTTTAAAAACAGGCTTAGATATCTTTATCATTTTAACTTTGGTTGTAAGTCACTTTGGGGCTTTTCATAGTGGGAAGCAATATATAAATGTAATAAACTTATGAAGAAACCATGAGCCTTAAAATTGGTCTTCGTTGGAGGGTATGTTGGCCTACTAACAAAAGTCCGGCAAGGAGATCCCTCTTTTACGCAGACATTATTTTGTGCTCTCAGTACAGTGGTACCTCTAGCTGCACACACCTCTGGATACGTATCCTTCGGGCTACGCACGTGGCAAACCCGGAAGTAACGGAAAGGTTTCCGCTGCACGCGCATGCGCAAAACAGGCACCTCTGGATGTGAATGTTTCAGGGTAAGAACGGACCCCCGGAACGAATTAAATTCATATCCAGAGGTACCACTGTAGTGATATTTGCTTACTGTTCTTCACGGTCTGTTGGGATCAGAACAGCACTGGAGGTTCAAGAACAGAAATTTGAGGTGGTTGTGGATGGAGCTGCCTCACCCAGCCCACTTCTGCCCCTCTGAATTATTTGGAGATTTTAGACAGCTAATGCTTCCTCTCTGTTCTGCCTCCAGCCTCCATTTGTGGTGACACTGGATGAGGTGGAGCTGATACATTTTGAGCGTGTGCAGTTCCACCTGAAGAACTTTGACATGGTCATCGTCTACAAAGACTACAGCAAAAAGGTCACAATGATCAACGCCATTCCTGTGGCTTCACTCGACCCCATCAAGGAGTGGCTCAAGTGAGTGGCCCCGGGGGTAGGGTTAGGGGTTGGGAATGCTCTTGGATCACCCTGCAGGCAGCTGCTGGCAGCATTCCTCTGTTAAGTTATTGCTGGAAGGCCCCTCAGAATTGCCTTCTGCTCCCTCCTGTCTCATCACCCCCCCAAAAAAGTGCTCAAAAGAGATAGTGCTAGCAGCTGCAGATTAGAACATGTCCATTTTTTACCTCTGCAAAAGTGGTTGGGTCAGAAGTCCTCTTTGAAGACTGCATTGCCTCTTCAAGCAATGCAGAATGGAACTGCAGCTATCTCCCCCCCCCCACTTGCCATAATTGAAAAGCTATGGGAGAATATTTACTCCACCCTCATATGAACGAGCTTTGGAAGCAAGTTAGTAGCTACAGGAGCAAGTTAGTGCTATTTTGAAAGGTGGATGTGAGCCCACCTTTCTGCTGACTCTGTGCATTCATCTCTTCCCTCCTTCTCCACCCACATCAGCTCTTGTGACATTAAGTACACAGAAGGAGTACAATCCCTTAACTGGACCAAAATCATGAAAACTATTGTGGACGACCCAGAAGGCTTCTTTGAGCAAGGGGGCTGGTCATTCCTCGAGCCCGAAGGAGAGGTATGTTGAGCAGGCACGTAAAGGGGCAGCTGGAAAACAGGGAACAAGACCTCATCTTTAGCTGTTAGGTTGTTACCTTTTCTCAAAAGGCTGAATGGGTTTGTACGGGAGTTGGGGATTTTTGGAAATTCCTGCTCAGAAGCTGGTGCAACAGGAAACGAGTGTCGGGATAAAGAATCCTGCATTAGCCCAACTTTTGCATCCCCACAAAAAACGAAAGCAACCCTAATGCAGGGGAAGGACCGTAGCTCCATGGTAGAACATCTGTTCTGCAGGCGGAAGGTCCCTGTTTTGATTCCTGCAATCTCTAGGTAGGGCTGAAACACCTCTGATACTGGGAGACCCACTGCCCGTCAGGGTGGACAGTGCTAAGTTGGATGGACCAACAAACTTGACTTCATATTCCTATCCAAAACTTTCTGTTAGCGGAATGGAACTCATGAGATTCCAGCAACGTAGTTAAGAGTCTTCTTCCTTCTCCTGCAGGGAAGTGATGCTGAGGCCGGGGAGTCGGAATCTGAGATTGAGGACGAGACCTTCAACCCTTCTGAGGAAGAGTATGAAGATGAGGAGGAGGACAGCGACGAGGACTATTCTTCTGAGGCAGAGGACTCTGGTGAGGGGAAACAGCCAGCCACAGGCCCAATGAGAGCAGCCCTCGCTTCCCCTTGGGTCTTGGTTTTTCAGCACACCCAGTACACACACACAAGCACCCTGTACTCAGGAGGTTCCTGGGCTGTTTTCCTCCAGCACTTCGACTCCCTACCTGTGTGTGGATGCACATTTCACTGTTCCTCTTGCTCTTTAAACACGTTCTGCTCAAGCACCCATATCCAGTAACCTTTTCTGCACAGCCAGTTCTCCCAAGCCACATTGTGTGGGCCATCCTTCCTTTCCGAGGGAAGTCACTAATCTTTGCTTTCTTCATTTTTTATAAAAGCAGTAGCATCACCATTTCCTTTTAAAACCTTGGGAGCTGGTCACTGATGGAGGACTGTGTCTGTATGTGTCCCACACACACCAGCATGACCTGAATAGAAACTTAGAGAAAGCTGCTTGGGTGGCGATCCAGTTGTGTGGCATAATATGTCCTAGATGCTGTTGCAGCATCAAAAAGGGCTCCGTGCCCTGCCTTGCCTGCCTCCCTTTCTCTGCATCATTCATGGTGTTGTAGCATAACAAAAGTTTCACATTATTGCTCAGAAAGCTGACCCGGGGTGTCGTAGTGTGTGAAAACATTTTGATCAGCGATGTGCTGAAACAGCGGCACCGAATGCGGATCCAGCTTAAGAAATCTCATGGGAGAGCTATTTAGTCCTTCCCTTGTGAAATGTCTTGAAATAGTAGCTCTGTTCTTTGACTCTTATGCAACATGCGCCAACACACACTAACTCCCAAAGTCTTTGGAAACTCATAGAACCGGAGCTGTTCTAAGGCTGCAAACGTAACCGCAGGTACACAGAGCAAATCCCATTGATCCCAGTGAGTCTTACATCTGAGTAAACAGGCATCCTGCTGTACTGTAAGTTAGTCGAACACTCATTCCTGACCTGTTACCCAAAGTCCCCGTTGATCATTAAGTGGGAGCTAAGTGACGCTAACTTGGTCTGTTTGCATCCTATTATCACTGGAGAACCTGAAATCAAAGACAGAGCCTGGCAAAATCTGGGGGACTGCAGGTTGCTCCTCTATCAGGGTCTCCATCGTCACCCCACTTCCTCCTTGGTTGCATGGCAACTAATTCTGAGCCTCTCCCACTTTCAGCCGATTACTCCAAGGAGTCCATGGGCAGCGAGGAGGAGAGCGGGAAAGATTGGGACGAGCTGGAGGAAGAAGCGCGGAAAGGTGAGAGAACCTTTGCTCAGCCCAACTTGGTGCAGAGGCGGGCGGCTTCTGGGCTCACTGCTTTGAGCGTTTGTAAGGCCGTTTGCCGGAGCAACAATGGGTCCCAGGGTAGGACCTGGAGGTGCATGAGGGCTGCTTCCTTGGTTCTGTCCAACGTCTGGATGGCTGCCTGACTGAGAGGAATATGTATGCCACCTTTGGTTCCACAAAAGAAGAAGAAACAAAAAGGCAGGATATATCCCCAATTTGTGGGGAATCCGCCACAAGGGAGGCTGCTGTTGCACCCTGGACCTGAATGCAGGCTTCTCAACAGCACCTGCCTGACCACTGCGACAGCAGGACGCTGATATGGAATGGGCCTTTGACCTGATACGGCAAGGCTCTTCTTAAGTTCTAAAAAATACTTTGGGGAGCTGTATCAAGAATTGGAAGCCAGTGCTTCTCTAGATGTGTTGGATTCCCACAGCCACAATGGCCAATGTTCAGGGCTGATGGGAGTTGTAGTAGGGCTGTAAGGGTGTAATCCTCTAAAGGTCCAACTGCGCTGGCTGCCAGTTATTTTCCGGGCCCAATTCACAGTGCTGGTTTTGACCTATAAACACTTTAGGACTGCCTCTCTCCATATGAACCGACCCTGACCCCAAGATCATCCTCTGAAGCCCTTCTTCATGCGCCTACTTCATGAAGGGTCCAGAGGATGGCAACACAAGAACAGGCCTTTTCTGCAACAGCTCCCCATTTGTGGAATGTTCTCCCCGGACAGATTCGCCTGGCACCTTTGCTATATACATTTAGGTGCCTGGTGAAAACGTTCCTCTTTAACCATGGCTCTGGCTGATTGACATCCAATGTGTTGTGGGGGTTATTGGTTTGTTGTTTTTACTGTGCATTTTGTGATTTATTAATATGTTGTGATCTGCGGATGAAGGGCGGCATACAGATTCAATAAATTAGTAAAGGTGCTTAGCCTAGCACCAGCAAGTATCTCATAATATATGTGCCCAGCCATGAGAAATAGCCATGAGTTGACTACAGGAATGTAGGTATCTTCTTTTCCCACCACCACTGAGTCCTGTCCTTTGCGTCTCTCTGCAGCTGACCGCGAGAGCCGATACGAGGAGGAAGAGGAGCGAAGCCGCACCATCAGCCGGAAGAGGAAGGTCCCATCATCATCGTCCCAGAGTTCGAGGCACCACCGCAGCTCCCACAGTCGCAGCCCCGGCCGAAGCTCGGGCCCCTCCAAGAAGAAGAGGAAGTAAACCGCAAGCCCTTCCCACCCGCCAATCTTTAGGGGGTTTGGGCTTTCAAGGCCTCATCCAGCAGCCAACGTTTAGGGCACGAGGGGCAGCCAGCCAGCCCCTCCCCACAAACTTCTCCCCTCTTTCTCTTCACGCACCCTCACCCTCTTCTTCTGTTTCTCTGGGGAGTATTTTGCTTTTGTTCCTTGAGTCTCTCTTTTTCCCTCTCTGACCATTTGTACGGACCAATCAGCTGCGAGAGAATGCAGGCCCTGCGGTTACGTCAACCACGGATGCAAACTCTGCCAAGGAGGAAAGGTGGGGGGGGGGAGGCTCAGGAATCTGGTGTCCGTGATCTGCCTGTTCCCACCTACCCCTTTTCTGTCACCTGCCCCTTGGCCTCTCCATTCCCGCTTACATCTCTTCCCCGACTCTCGGTGTCTTTGTTCTCGGACGGATTGGGGCAGGGAGGCGCAGGTTGCCCTGAGATCTACTCCAGAACCAGAGCATGTACTTCAGCAAAATGAACTGTGCAACTTTTTGTGGCATTTTGTGCTGGGGCAAGGGTGGTTGTGTTCCATGTTTTTGAAGCAGAACCCCCCCCCCCCCCCCGGGTGGTAGAGGAATCCCACCTTGGAACAGTGACACAGAAGAGGGCAAGAGTTTTTGAACAGGTGGGAGACCAGGGGAACGCAACTGAATGACAAGGGTTCTTGCTTTCTCTTTTTTTAAAAAAGACAAAAATGTCAGGCACTGTCTGTATTTATCTGTTTCCTTGGCTGCAGAGTCTGGTCTCCAGTGAGCAAGTGTTTTAGGGACAAGGGGTAGGGGGTTGAATGCTTTGTCTGCCCTCTGCCTCCCTTCTCTCCTGTGGGGAAGGGGGGAGTCAGTGATCCACCCATGGGAGGGCAGGGAAAGGCTTTTTCAAAATTCCTTTCTCCCCAACCCCCTCCATCCCGTAGCAGTTAGCACTCTCGGTATTTTTGACTTTGGAAAAAACTGATCAATAAAAATGTTTTTTTAAGTATTTGGAAAGTTTATTCGTTGGCTTCGTCCTTGTCTTTTGTGTCAAACGCCCCAAAGCATCTTTTTGGTCATGGAATCCTGTTAAGTTTCTGTCGTCTTCACCCGTTCAGCTTGTCATTCCTCACTGCTCTTCCTTTTGCCTGCCCAGTAAATGGCTCTCAGGGCAGAAGCTGCTTCCATGGACACTTTCAGCTTCCCAATGTTGGCGTCAGGATCAAAAGGACTGATAACTAGAATGACAAGGTTAAAATAGTTGTTTGTGTGCAAGAGATGTGGAACCAAGTCTGTTATTACTGAAGAAAGCAGGAGAGTCTCAGTCTTCATTTACAAGGACTAAGGTTCTAGCACCCACTCCTATTGTGGGTGCATGAGGGAACCTGCAAATGCCGGTGAATTTGAATTTTATTATTACGGTCACAGACCAGTTCCAGCTCACTTACAATATCAGGAAAATCATAAAACACAACAGGAATACATTGAATTGCAGTTGGGTATAACAGAGACAATACAGATATAGCGGCAGTTAAAAATATACAGTGGTACCTCGGGTTACATACGCTTCAGGTTACAAACTCCGCTAACCCAGAAATAGTACCTTGGGTTAAGAACTTTGCTTCAGGATGAGAACAGAAATCGTGCTCTGGCAGTGCGGCAGCAGCGGGAGGCCCCATTAGCTAAAGTGGTGCTTCAGTTTAAGAACAGTTTTAGGTTAAGAACGGACCTCTGGAACAAATTAAGTACTTAACCCGAGGTACCACTGTTTATTAAATCTTGATCACTTTAAATTGTCATTTAAAACCTTAATAATTTTGGTAGAACAGCTTGTTCCCTAAGTTTTACGGCAGTCGCACAGAATTTGGCCACCCTTAGCGTGATCTCTAGATCCTTGTCCTCTAGTTTTAGACATTGAAGTTCGGACCCATTTGGAGATTTGCAAATGCTGGTTTTTAAATATTGCACAATCCATTGTCGATAAAATGCAGCGACCAAAGGAGATTGTCATTACAGCTATTAGGGCTGGTTTGAAATGGTGGGTCCAGAACAAGTGGCATAGCAAGCTGGCATAGTTGTAGACCAGCCTTCCCCAAACCTGGTGCCCTCCAGATGTCAGGATGCAACTCCCAGCATCTGTGGCTAGTGCTGATGGGAGTTGTAGTCTGACATAACGTGGAAGGGCTCTGAAGGCTACTTCTGACACTGCTTCAGTTTTGTCACGAGCCGTCAGCTTCTTACCGTCAAGTTCTCGCTCCAGCATATCGCTACCTGTCAGAAGGATCTCCCGCAAGTCCAGGTAGGCAAAGCCGACGTCTTCGCATTCTCCTCCGGTCCCTGGCAGCGGTTCGCTCACCACTGCAAATTGCAGCCTATGTCAAGGAAGAGGGCTCCATGAATACAGGCACTGGGGTCATTCTTTTTTTGCCTGGGGCTTTCAGGGGAAGGGAAACACGACACTCACCAGTTATGCTGGGGCTCTTCTGCCTCCAACATAGAAAAGAGCAGCTGCCTCTGAAGGCTCTCTGGGTCTGGGTCCACTTTGATCACTGCAGTAGGAAGATTCAAGAAGACATTTACTGGAGCCGCTGCTGCTCTCTGATACAGCACTTGGCGTGTTGAGTGCAGGGAGACAGATCAAAGCAGATGCGTTCGACAAAAACCATGCTGTCGATACTAAAATACGCCTTCTCCAGAACAAGAGGTCCACAATGGAATTAGTCCTTTGCTATAAAGGACTCCTGACCATTAGGTCCAGTCGTGGCCGACTGCAGTTGCGGCGCTCATCTCGCTTTATTGGCCGAGGGAGCCAGCGTACAGCTTCTGGGTCATGTGGCCAGCATGACTAAGCCGCTTCTGGCGAACCAGAGCAGCGCACGGAAATGCCGTTTACCTTCCCTCCGGAGCGGTACCTATTTATCTACTTGCACTTTGATGTGCTTTCAAACTGCTAGGTTGGCAGGAGCAGGGACCGAGCAATGGGAGCTCACCCCATCGCGGAGATTCGAACTGCCAACCTTCTAATTGGCAAGTCCTAGGCTCTGTGATTTAAAATTCTTCACCCCGTGGTCTCAATCCTGCCTTATGCCTGGAAAACAGGCCTTGTGGAACATGGGTTCCTCAAACTGGTCGAGAAATTTAGGAAGGTGGCCAGTGGCGTATAACACATTCCAACTGACTCTTGCCCCATCCCCGTAAGTTGTGCAATGGAGTAGCCATCTGCAAGAAGGGAAAATGAAGATAGGAGATGCTGGCCTTTGAATGTAGGGAGGCAGCTTAGAGTTACATCTGAATGGTGGTTTTGTCGGTGAGACCTGACATGGGATAATGGCTGCAGCTGGGGTGGGCTGGGAGGCGAGTTCTAAAATGGCCACAGAAAAGTAGCCTTCTGCGGGTATCTCTCGCAGTCTAACACACCTCATGGGGTCATTTTTACGATGGAGATAAAATTGGGGGAGGTTTGGGTAGGGGAAGGGGATTGTGTATCCCACTCTTGGGAGTAAGGGTAGTGCATAAATTAGCATGGAGCCCTTCAGATGCACGCTAGATGGTGCTATTGAGCATTGTATCCGAAAGCAGTAGATGGAACTACCGTATTTTTCGCTCCATAGGATGCACTTTTTCCCTCCTAAAAAGCAAGGGGAAATGTGTGTGCGTCTTATGGAGCGAATGCAGGGGGGCAGGCAGGAAAAGCCCCCAAGAGCCGCACACAAGCTCCGTGCGGCTCTTGCGGGCTTTTCCCCAGGAGGGAGAAGGGGCTGACTGGCGGCATCAGTCCCTTCTCCCACCTCGTAGAAAAGCCCACAGGAGCCACACACCCTTTAAAGAGCCGCGCAGCCCCTTTAAAGAGTGTGCGGCTTCTGCGGGAGGTGGGGAATACTCCCGGAGCTTGTCGGGGCTGGCGGGGGAAGCCCGGGCTTCCCCCGCCAGCCCCGATAAGCTCCTGAGCAGCTCTGGGGTAGCCCGCGAAGCCTCCACAGGGCAGCAGTGAGCCTTCATCCCGGCTTCACACGGCTATCCGTCCAGTATATCTGAAGGAGCGTCTCCACCCCCATCTTTCTACCCGGACACTGAGGTCCAGCACCGAGGGCCTTCTGGCGGTTCCCTCACTGCAAGAAGCCAAGTTACAGGGAACCAGGCAGAGGGCCTTCTCGGTAGTGGCACCTTCCCTGTGGAACACCCTCCCACCGGATGTCAAAGAGAAAAACAACTACCAGACTTTTAGAAGACATCTGAAGGCAGCCCTGTTTCGGGAAGCTTTTAATGTTTGATGTATTATAGTATTTTAATATTCTTTTGGAAGCCGCCCAGAGTGGCTGGGGAAGCCCAGCCAGATGGGCGGGGTATAAATAATAAATTATTATTATTATTATTATTATTATTATTATTATTATTATTATCCCTGGCTTTTGCGGGAGGTGGGGCTCTGTCCCTTTCCCCACCTCCTGCAAAAGCCAGGGATAGCCGCGCTCCCTTTACAGAGCCGCGTGGAGTGTGTGTGTGGCTCTTGGGGGCTTTTCCCCGAGGAGGGAGAAGGGCAGCCCATCACTGACGGGCTGCCCTTCTCCCTCCTTGGGGAAAAGCCCCCAAGAGCCACACACACACACTCCACATGGCTTGTGAAAGGGAGCGCTGAGCAGAGCCTGGGATACATACAGGCTCTGCTCAGCGCTCCCTTTAAATAATATTTTTTTTCTTGAATTCCCCCTCTAGAAACTAGGTGTGCCTTATCAGGTGTGCCTTATGGAGCGAAAAATACGGTAGGTTCTGATATAAACAGCTGCAAGGACCTAGAGAAGGATTGGACAGCTGAATTTCATGCGGTGGGGGTGGGAGAAGAAATGGGGGCTGTTGTGCGTTGTGAACCCCCCTAAGATCTATGGGTATAGGGTGGAATACAAATTTAATAATAATAATGTGGCCCCCAAGAGTTCATCTTGGATGGAGTGTGGCCCTCAATGGTCTTTGTAAAATGTCCCACACTACTAGATGAGTGTTTCCCAAACTTGGGTCTACAGCTGTGTTTGGACTACAATCCCCATCTTCCCTGACCAGTGGTCCTGCTAGCTAGGAATGATGGGAGTTGTAGTCCAAAAACAGCTGGAGGCCCAGGTTTGGGAAACACTGGTATAGACCCTTTCTCTGCCCGAGGGCAACATTCACTCCTGGGCGGGGCTACATACAAAAGTGGGCGGAGCAAGAGGTGTGATTTTTTTACATTTGCTACAGGAGTTGCACAGTTCTCTCTCAACTCCAGCCCGGCAGATAAGAGGCCTGGGAGTTCAAGGGCCAGGCAAAAATAATCAAGGAGAGTTATGAAGTCAGAGGCAGGAAGGGGTGTGGCTTGGGGGGGTTACATTTGGCCCCCGAGCTTGAAATTCCTCACCCTGACCTAGAGGCATGTAAATTTGGCAATATAGCAGGGAGCCTTGTAGACCATGCCAGCTCTTACAAGTTTATGAGTTTTTCTTTCCCTAGATCACGGTTTCCTTCCGCATCCTCACCTTTGCTGAAGTGGAAGTAGATTTCCTGGTTTCCTTGGGGCTTCCGCAAAGAGAAGGGGGTCTCTGTTTCCTCCAGCAGCAGGCCAGGGAAGCGATACTCCACGTACAGCTGCTGGATGTTCTCGTCAGCAATGGGTGGGCTGTCCGGGTGCAGGCTCAGGGAGATGACCTCCACGCGGATCCTGTCTGAAGGCTGCCGGCCAAGGT